TATATTTTCGATTCAGTTCTGGGAAACTTCTACTAGCGAAAAAATTGTTCTCGAAATTCAAAAGGTGGACTCAATTAGAGGGGAGACACTTGGATCCCTTATGGAGTAAGAAGACGATGATAGCCACATAACCGGAAATTGATTTCCTCTTCATCGTCGCTATTGAAGAAAATTAAAGGTAGTTTTCGAATTTCTCTACAAATCAAAATTCGTATTTTTACGTGATTTTAAAAGATGCCAATCATTTTATTCGCTATATGTCCTTACGAATTAAGTATTTATTTGATAAATAATAATTATATTGTATAATTTTCGTTGCGATTTTAATCCGTACAGTATAGCGAACCCAACAGTGGTATCAGAGCCACGGTTTGCATCTTTAATCAGATTTTGATTTGTTTATGTTTATGTGATAAACATATTTAATTGTTAAATCATATTTATTTTGTGTGTGATAAAATTGTTTTATGTGATTTGATGTTTGGGATTAATTAAATATAATCAAATGTTGATTATATGTATGTGCTACTGTAAGAGGTTTTCTTCACAAATGTTGAATTTAGGCAACAACAGAGAAAGAATTGGATTCTTTCATTTTATTGAAATTAAAAAAAAATTAAATAAAGGTATGGGACGTGTGTATATATGATATGCAGCTTGATACACAAAGGGAATTGTTCTCAGCCCTTTTTGTGAAAGTGTATTGCGCCCATGATGTTTAGTTTTTTAAAATAACTCAACTGTTGAGTTACATAGAATGTCTATGTTTGCCCAATCTAAATGTCATGTGATGACATGTTTAAAAATAAAAATAATGGTTGGCATAAGATGCTCATCTGGTCAAGAAAATTTGCAATTTGCAATTTAAAATGACATTGTTGGATGGCTATGTTATGCTACTTACCGTCACCTATTGGATGGCCATGTTATTGCACCCCACCTGCTGCAATCAATAATTAAGAAAAAAAAAAAGTAATTGTGGTGGACTTGTTTTGCTACTAAATTTTGCAAACGAGATTTGCAATTGCATGTGCAATTTTTCTTTCCTACGGGACATGTAATGTCCAACAACATTAAAAAAAAATGTTTTATTTAAGTTTAGATTTAGAAGTTAAATCTAAATTAATTAGATTAATTATTATGAATAGTTAATATTTATTAATCCCAAAATTAAATCAACACACAAAATTTAGTAAATTTATATGCTTTTAATTCATATGATGAATGTATTTAGCATATTTATTTAGGAATGGTCATGAGCCTTTTATTCAATATGATTGAACGTTTGTAATTTATCGAGACCTGCGAGTCTCTTATTCAATAATTTGTATAATTTTAAATTATTGCATCGAGAGTAGATTAGATCGTGAGGTTTTCTAATTCTGATTGGAGGCCGTTCGATGCAAAAGGCCCACGCTTGTGTGGGTAATTTTACAAGTTGTAAATTTTGAAGGTCTGTGCTTGTACGGATT